GTGGTTCATTACTGCGAAAGGCTGTTGGGCCGTTTCTGAGCAAAAACTTAAAAAGATACTTTCCGGCAGAAGCTGATCTTCCGCCGTGATTAGCTTCTGAAGGCGAGCGTTAAGGGGGCAATAAAAGAGTTAAGCTAAATCCCCTGACTTAGCCTGGGCGGGGTGCTGTCCCCCGACGGCCGTTAAAACAACCTATGTATTAACTAACCCAACTTGCCAATCCTTTCGATTGATATTCAATAAGGTAGTTGCTCTATTCAGCGGCCAGATAGCCTTAGCGAAACCTAGTTCATTTTTAGCCGAAGGCGCGATAGCCTTTATCTTTTGGTTCTTTTCCATCATGGAAAAAGAACTTATACCGTTTAGAGAAGTAATTTATACTTCGATAAAGCTCGGCACTACAGTAATCCTAAAGCCCAATCATTGCTTTGTCGGCAGCAGCGGTCATAGCTGCCGACTGGCTTTTTGCCCAACTTTTTTCCACAAAAAAGTTGGATTCCGGCCTGCCAGATAAATACCAAAATAGGTGTCCAAATGGTATTAAAGAAAAATAGCATCGACTGACCTGCCATGCATAGCTATGGGGTTAAATAAAACATATTACAAAAAGGGCTGTCTACTGTTACGTTAGACAGCCCTTTTTTATGGAACGCAATGGTAGCTATTTAAAAATCTATCCGCGCATCTTTCATCAGCGGCTGCACCATATCTTTATCCGAAACAATGGCCTTGCTCAGGTCAATCTTCCAGTCGATATTTAAGGAGGGGTCATTGTAGGCAATACCACCTTCTGTGCTTTTATCGTAGAGGTTATCACATTTGTACATGATCTCGGCAGTCTCCGTCAATACCGAATAACCATGGGCAAAACCACGTGGCACCAGGAACTGTCTTTTATTTTCAGCACTCAGCTCTACGCCAAACCATTGGCCATAAGTGGCGCTTCCCGGGCGGATGTCTACCACCACATCCCAGATCGCACCTTCAAGTGTGCGTATCAGCTTGGTTTGCGGGGTAGGCGCATTCTGGTAATGTAAGCCTCTTAATACATTCTTTACCGAGCGCGCCTGGTTGTCCTGTATAAAAGGAATGTTGTGGCCGGTAAGCGATGTAAATGTTTTCAGGTTAAAGCTCTCAAAGAAATAACCGCGATCATCATTAAATATCCGGGGTTCAAGTATCAGTAAGCCTTCAATCGGCGTTTTTACGATATTCATGCAGTTGTTTTTTTACTGTTTACAATCTCCAGCATTCCTTCTGTTATAAACTTCAGTTCTTCTTCCGTCATTTCAGTATGGATGGGCAGAGAGATCACACATTCATTCAATGCATCGGTTGTTGGCAATACTAAATCAGCAGCTACAAATGACTTCAGCATATTCTGCTTATGGCTCGGAACAGGGTAGTAGATCATAGAGGGGATGCCCTTGGCTGCCAACTCATTCACCACTGTATCACGATCTACATTTTTTAATTGAAGCGTGTACTGGTGGAAGACATGCTTGTTGTAAGGCGCACGGAACGG